TAGTGAATAATACAACCGGGGCCCTCTAATTACACAGGATTTTTTCCTAAAAACAGCTTATTGAAAGCTTCATTGGCTTACGAATTACGAAACAAACCTCTTTGCAGAAACTGAAAATTAATGCAACAGAAAGTTAGCTATTTGAAAACCACATTTCGTTGCGAGCACAAGCACGATGGATGGTTGCACCTCCACTTAAGTGTTTCCAAAGCTGATGTGCACTTGCAGAGTTGGTTGTTTTCCATTGATCTGACAGAATTATGATATTACTGCTTGAGCCATTCTTTCACTGTGGTTGTGTGCGTCTTTTAGTCCACTGGCAATTTGAACTTGATTCTCATTCTCAGCCCATGCAATTTGTTGCATATGTGGCTCAAGTGTTTTGATTGTATCTGCACTGGTTTATTAGCAGGCATGGACCATAGATCATCCCACTCGACTGTATATGGTTTGGTACATAAGAATGTATGGCCATTTGAATGGTGTTGGCATAATTTTCCATATATTACAAATTACTGCATTCACATCACAATTAAATTTGTTTACATATCCATATCCTTCACTTTCTTCCAATTTGGTCAGAAGCTGACCAGGTACTGCACTTTTGCTTGCTGGATTAGAACCCTGATGATGTCAGTTGGCAGTCTGTCTGTAATAACTAATTTGCCTGTGCCACCCCACCCTTATAAGACTCTGACAAAGCATATAGTGAAACTTCTGTCCACCAATCTGAATAATCTCCGCGAGAAACCAATATATAGTTATATTATAATCTCTGGGGCTGTACATCTTTTATACAACAACTGGCTTGAGCTCATAGTAGAGGAGTTAGCATGCAGATACAGTGAGGGTCAGACTTCGGGTATTGTCCTTATTGACCCAATCATGGAAGCTGGACATGTGTGTATGGACATACATACATGCACCATACCAGCTGCCTACACATCCTAAGGCATGTGAACAAAAAAAACACTGACAAGCCATAAATACTTACAACAATGCCAAAAATTACTGAAAAGTAGCCCGACCCATACTGACTGTTTTGGGTGGTGGTCAACGCCCAGACACCACAACCTGACGGAATCATCTGGAGTGTGGGTCTGAAGTGTGGCACCATACCATTCTACATCTACATACATTGTAGTGCTCGAAATGGCAACATCCGTGGCCCGAGTATCCACAAGCAAAAGCCCTTGAAATCCTGCAATGGTTACAGGAACAAACGTGCACCTTCGCTTGGCCAGCCATAGGACATCCTCCTGCATGGACCCTGCCACCTTCTTTTTCTACTGCTCCTGTCGTCTTACTGTCAGGCTTTGTGGATAGATTCTTTCTTCTGTTACAGCTTTTATTCCCATGACCTATCTCTCCACAAAACTAGCACAGCATGGTCTTCCTTCTCTCATGCTCAGAGAGCCCGTCTCTAAGAGGCCCTGGCAAAGGCGCAGATTTACAGCTGGGTCACGATGCCATGGACCTTTTCAAGTCCGCCAACTCCAACTTTTGGAGGGCCTCAACCATGACCTCCATTCTGGCTATCAGCGCCTCAACCATCTCTTTGTAGCCAATTTGGCATCATTGATGCTTCTATCCTTCCGTTAAAGAATCACTCCCTGATAAGTCAAACTTTTCAAGGAAGGATTATTCTGATTTTCTATACTGGTGTCCTGGATTGTTAAATGTAATCCAGGACACTATGTGTAGTAGACCATGGTAAAACAAATCAAATTATGTCAACATTCAACACAACAACTTTATCAGTAAAACGCAAATATGTCAATTTATTTTTATTACACAGCACAGAATTCACCAAATATTTAATTTTGATATGTACAGAAACATGCACACACACAAAATCAACAGACAGTTTACGATTTTCTGCATTTGCTGTTGATTGCGTTTCGAATTGCTGCCATTTGACTCTTGGAGGTCAGACGGGAATTGTAATGCTGCCTGCTTCAGTATAGCCTCCATTTTGGTAGGGTTGAGCTAGGTTTTGATGACTATGTTGTCATGTGATCTGACAGCACTGCCAAAATAGCTAGATGACCCGAGTTTTGCATGATCAAGTAACTTAAGTTCTAACTGCTGACCACAGCTACTTTTCTCATTGTTTATACTTGGCAAATGGTAAGACAACTTCACTGTCGATGGTGCCCATAACTGCATTAGATTCATTACGTATAGTCGCAACAATGCAATCCTCTGGAAGGCAACTGACGAACTGTGTCATAAACTGGTGATGTTTTCTCTCTCTGGCATCCGAGATACTTTTGTTTTTTCTTATCTTCGATCATTTTTAGCATCCTAAGATCTAAAAATAGTTGCTGAATAACAGTTTTACTAGTAATAGCCAAATAAGGCTTAGATTGGTTGAATTATTAGTCAGCTTATCTTCTTATTATTGGGATATGGGCATGAAACAAGCCGGACACAACATACCGGTACTACCGGTAGTAATATAAACACATTATCGCGACACTCACCTGATTGCAATACTTTTGCTTCGTAAACGAAACTCTTATAAATTATTTTACGTCTTCAACTTGAAATCCTTGCGTCTTGATTTTTGATAAAAGGTAATACCCCCCCCCCCCCCCTGGCTGAAGCCAGACAATCGTGATTTTGCATGCCATAGTGAATAAATGAATAATTCAAAGTATAATTATTATTGAAGTCTTGCAAAAGACGTGAAATTCAGATTAAAAACTTCCTGGTTTTATGGTGAATTTGTTCACGCCCACAACAGTCTTCGAATGTATAGTCATCACCACATGTTCGCCAAACTTTAGAATGTTCCTATAACCATGCACAGAGTCGGTTCTGTGCGTTTTCAAAAACCTGTAAATAGAAAATAAATTATTCGCATTACGCTTTGTTAATAAATTCAGAGCAGAGAAACTGGTCATGGAGTAGATTATGTTTCGTCAGTCAATGTACTTTTTTTCGCGTGATTAAATATTTGACTACCTTTGAAAATGTTGAACTGTCTCACCTCATCGTACAGCCATTTGTCTTTACCGTGAATTTTTACTTGAATGGATGCTAGTGGGGATGATTTGTCGATTTGTCAGACTAATAGCGACCTGTTCCCATTGGATGTCTTGTAATATATTCAAAATTATTGGCGAGTGGTCTGATGTTCGAAGAAAATGTCATTGTCAGTAGTTAAGTTCAGATTTTCCCAAGATACTGTCTGCACTGATGGTGCATCGTTCAATGTAGTTGGGGAAATGTCACCATGACTTTCATCGGGAGTTAATGCTTTTTTGTTGTTACTTTCCATCATTGACAATAAAGGAATACCATTGTCACAGTCTTCTAAATCCTGTACACGAGCAAGCTTTGAACCTGGGAAATGATAGAAATTAATAAACTTAATTGATTATCAACTATGATTATTGTCGCAGTGCAAGGCCTGCATATTGCAATTGAGGGGGCCACTCACAGAACTCACACTGGGGTAGACAATAGTACTGGAAATTAAATACACATACAACGAAGTATCAAGTTAAAGCTTTAATACCGCTCAAAATAATTACAAGAAATAAAGCACAGAAAAATACAATGAATAAATTCACTATTAAATAGGGGATTGCCTAGGGAAGTGTGCGTTGGTGATAACTTACAGTTCCAGGATGTAGAAATGGGTGACCGTCAATGGCTTCTGCAACACAACAACGAGGAAATACAGGATTCACAATATCGCAGTAGCTACACACAGGATACTAAGTTGAAATCATGGATCCAAACTGTTCTCAGTCTGTCCATTTTATAGGCAAATGGCCCAGATTCAGTGACACCACCTGGGTTTCCACATGAGCCAATCAGAATGTGATCTTGCTAGCAGCTGTGTAACTTGGCCAACTCAGTAGATCATAAACATCTTTTGTTATTCAAATAACAGCACACCTGGTAGATTCCAATTGTCCTTCCAAAGTTGTAAACACCCTTTGTTATATAAACCACAAGTACATCTGGTTGATTCCAACTGTCATTCCAGAGTTGAAAACAAGAATGACCTGTCAAATCATCTTTATGACAGTTACACGGCAATGCACACTGTTTCTTCCCATGATTTCATGCACACTTTTATTTGCAGGGTTTGAGGTAATATGACAAAAACACTAAGAATAAAGGATGCTGACAATTAGTAATCAATACTTACTATTCAATGGTCCATAAACTGATAAAGCTTCAGTATTTCACTTGAAATATCTTTACTTTTTAATTGGCTTATGGCTGCAGTGTTTTCTTTGTCAAAGTCACACTCTACTGAGTAGTTACATTCACAAAATATTAGCGATCCTAAAAGATGCTATTATATCAACTATGTAGAGACTCTTCAGGAAACTGGTTCAGGAACATTTTTAGTTCCAGTTCAACATCATCATGCCTTGTTAAAATATATTTCTGGATAGTAGATATCATGCTCAGGAACGATGCTTACAGTGTTTGAAGACGATAAACTGATGAAATAAGACCGAAGCCCCTCTTTTTAAGCTTATACTTCCTTAAACTACTCTTTAAATGTTACTGTTTATGCTCAAAGGGGTCAAACTGTGGCTATCAAAGAAGTTTTCGGCATTCTACAAATATTCACATCTATATGAATAACTACAATTATTTAACATCATATTTCATAACATTGAAACTACACAACTTTATAATAAAATATTGGCTCAGTGGTACTCAGTTTTTAAAATACCTTTACGTATTCTCATCTGCAATAATAGTAACAATGCAATAAATTATATAACATTGTGACTACGCAACTTTGATAAAATACCGCATTGATGATTCATAGTTAAGGATGCAACATTCTATAATTTCGTCAATCCAATAATATTCAAAGTCACAGAAACCCCAAAGCTCTAGGGATATCAGGCAGGAAACCACTGGTTTAATTTTAATCACTTCCTATATTCATTTCAACAACCATGTTGGGTGATTCACTTCATTTTTGTCATAATTTGATACACTTGCAATTCTTTTACTAGATCTGTATTCAGCGTGTTGGGCCTCAAGGCGATGGTGATAGTTTGGCTAACGGTGCAGTTGAAGGTTTAGAAGAGCTGGAAAAAATTTCAGCAGAAATGAACAAGAGAGCTGATGAATTTGAAAGAATTGAAAATCCCATTCCTGGTACAGTTTATTTTGTGGTGTGCATGATTCACTGGTTGAGAGGAGGGGGAGGGGACTTTTAGCTTGGAGCCAGTTAAAAGGAAAAACGCTATATACAAGGCCAGGAAACAAAATTCTCTGTTTCTCGTTTTATGGAAATTTTAAAATGAGGTGGCGAGGCGATTTTTTTTTTTTTTTTTTTTAATATTTGAGCTAAAATGGGGGAAATTTGAGACAAGTGAGAGTAAAAAACGTCCGAGGCACATAGTTCAAAATGATGTGCGCGGAAACGAGAAACAAACAGATATTTTTTTTCTCAGCCTAAACTATGATGACAATTAAAGTTCAAGGATAAAATGTTGACAAAACTGAGATGGGTTATTGTGACATGTCATGACCCTGCAATTCACATCATGGGGTACATTGTGCAAGTACTGTATGGTTCAATCCAAGATAGTTGACTGAATGGTGGTCATTTTTTGTGGTAAAATTCAAGAATTTATAAAATTCTACATTTGATGACTATGACTATATTTTTCTTTAAAAAAAATTGATGTTTTAATTTCTAAGTTTAAGTGCTAGTCTAATATTTTGTATGTTGGTTGGGAGTTTATAATATTTTCAATCAAACTTCATCTATACTATGGTTCAGAATGCTTTTCAGGTTATTCCTCACAAACAACAGGATTTTATCGACCGACCAACTGGCTGCTGCTGTTCATTTAGTTCTATTTACGCGAGAACAATGCTGCAATAATATTTTCATTAAGTACTCTTGAGAAATATATTCACCAATTTCATGCTACTTCTGGAGATTATCTAATTGTGAAGTTTTTTTGTACATTAGGTATGGCATGTTGTGGACAGTATGCGTATGATGATGAATGGTACCGAGCTGAAGTATTGAAAGTAAAATCGGTCAGTCCATTGACAGTTGAGGTGATCTATGTAGACTATGGTACAACTGAAACTATACCTGTAGATAGGTGAGTACATGGTACATAGAATGTAATTGTAACAATATCATAGTGGAATTGTGCATCAGTGGCATTGTAGTGGCCTACTGGTAGTATTTACATATGTGATATTAACGGAGTTCCTTTTGTACCCCCCATCCCTAATGCAACACTAACCCTACCCCTACCCTCCAGCACTCCCCATTTAATTGTACATGCCCCTCCTAAGGACATCTATAGTTATATACAA